ACTGCAGTGATGATCCCTTCGTTTCTGGTGCCTGTGATGGGTGGAAGTGATGTAAGTTGTTTCTATGTTCAACTGTTCTAGTCCTTTTAACTACTTTAGTTTGTTTTGTTGTTTTGATCGATAGATACTGGTGAAATTCTTTTGATGTGTTACTAGCAAATCTACACCAAGGAATAGTTTTCTTGAAGTTATGATTGAATGGTTTTGTTTTATGTATTTGGTTTTGTTGTGCAGTAAAATGAATTGGGGTGGATCCCACATAAATGAAGTTAGGTGGCCCTAAAATGAAATTGGCAATATAGAGAGAGAATTGACATTCATATATTGACTTGTTTGTTCAGGATGATAAAGTGAGGGTGGTACAGACCCTCCTTTTTGTTGAAGGAATTAATACACTACTGCAGACACTCTTTGGAACAAGATTACCAACAGTGGTAGGAGGATCATATGCATTCATGGTCCCCGTTATATCTATAATTCGTGATCCGTCTTTTGCAATGATAGAGGACCCACATTTGGTCAGTGCATTTCTGTAATCTCTCTTTCATGTTTTGTCCCTAACTCAATTGTTAAGTTGAAATTCATATTACCTTTCAAGGATTTAATTTAACAATATCAAAGTTTAATTAAGCTTAGTATTACCTAACTAGAAAGAACATCTTTACAGAGAAGATAGCTATACACTTTTAGTACACCACCACCATATTTACTGTTAAGCTTATGACAGGACGTGGGATCCGTACATGGTGGTGAAATTTGTCTTCTTTGCTAGCCATTTATTGCAGGAAAAATAAACAAACTTTAGAATAATAATACGCAGGATAAAACACAAATTCGTCTTAAATTTGTTATCTTCGTTGCCTTAAACTAATGCCCTCGATTCATCTCCAGAGATTTCTTAGCACAATGAGAGCAGTCCAAGGAGCATTAATAGTAGCTTCGAGCATACAAATAATTTTGGGATTTAGTCAAATATGGGCTATTTGTTCCAGGTAATTTATTTTATGTAACATACAAGTATATTTTTAAAGTAAAATATGGGCTATTAGTGTGAAACTTTGATAGTTGTTGATATATCTGATAATGAATGTCCTTTTGCTTTATCTTCAGATTTTTCAGCCCACTTGGAATGGTTCCAGTAATTGCCTTAGTTGGTTTTGGATTATTTGACAGAGGCTTCCTTGTGGTATGACACCGAACCACATGTTGCTAGTACTATTTTTCAGGATATCTTATTGTGAAATTTAATAGTATTTTTCATTGCTCAAATTGCTGTGTGTCCTTTCACAGGTGGGGACTTGCGTTGAAATTGGAATTCCCATGCTAATCCTATTTATAGCCTTATCTCAGGTGCAAAATTATATATATTGCAGTTATCTCATACAAGTAAAACATTGCATGTTCAAAGATAGCAAGTAGAAAATAGAGTCTGAGATATGTAGTGTGTCCAAAACCGACCTAATCACTCTGTGTTGTTTTGCAGTACTTGAAAAATTTTCAGATAAGACAAATACCTATACTAGAGAGATTTGCACTACTAATTTCCACAACAGTGATATGGGCATATGCACATTTATTAACAGCAAGTGGAGCATACAAACACCGTCCAGACTTAACCCAACATAGTTGCAGGACAGACAGGGCCAACCTCATTTCTTCTGCTCCATGGTTGGTAGTACTGTCAAGAGCATCTGTGTTGAAATCTGCAAACACATACTTTTACTGTTAGAAAATAACCATGTTCGTGAATGCAGCAAAGAAAATGTTTAATTAACTCTTGAATGTGTTGTGGCAGGATAAAGATTCCATACCCTCTTGAGTGGGGTGCTCCTACATTTGATGCTGGTCATTCTTTTGGAATGATGGCTGCTGTGTTAGTCTCATTAGTTGAGGTATTGAGGCCGCGAGTGCAAAAAAATAAAGTCTTATTATTTACGTTGACAATTTATAAAATAAAAGCAAATATAGTTTAGTTTCTATGTACTAAAATAAAAAAGAGTTTTTCTTTTGTTGTTTTTTCAGTCAACTGGGGCATACAAAGCAGCATCACGTCTAGCAAGTGCCACACCACCTCCTGCTCACGTGCTGAGTCGTGGTATTGGTTGGCAGGGAATTGGAATTTTGTTGAATGGCCTTTTTGGAACACTCACTGGTTCTACAGTTTCTGTGTAAGTGGTATTCTGCATGAAGTGAATCATGCTTTTCTTTCACTTTTATGGGGCACAAATTGATTCTTGTAGGACTGTGACAGAGAGAATGTGGGGCTTCTAGGAAGCAATCGTATTGGCAGTAGAAGGGTCATTCAAGTTTCAGCTGGCTTTATGATATTCTTTTCAATGTTAGGTGAGTGGAAAACAACACAAATGTTTAAAGTAATTTCACAATTTGACTTAAAATTCATATTTTGCTTATTTCTTCAGGAAAATTTGGAGCTCTATTTGCATCGATACCATTCCCCATGTTTGCTGCTGTGTACTGTGTTTTGTTTGGTATTGTGGGTGAGTAGTTTTACTTTCTCTAGTTTTACTTTGTGATTCCTTCCTCTGCCTTTGTGAATGACAATTGCTAATTTTGTTTGTACAGCATCCGTGGGGCTATCGTTTTTGCAATTCACTAACATGAACTCAATGAGGAACCTCTTTATTTGTGGAGTTTCCCTGTTCTTAGGTTTGTCCATTCCTGAGTATTTCAGAGAATACACTATCAGGGCCTTTCATGGCCCTGCTCATACCAATGCTGGATGGGTGAGTTCATTGTTTTATCTCCCTCGTTATATTAGTTAAGTAGAAAACTAACAAGTCATTGTTTTCATGGTTTTGCAGTTCAATGATTTCCTTAATACTATATTCTTTTCTTCTCCAACGGTTGCATTGATTGTTGCTGTGTTTTTGGACAACACTCTTGACTACAAGGATAGTGCCAAAGATAGGGGAATGCCATGGTGGGCTAAGTTCAGAACATTTAAAGGAGATAGCAGAAATGAAGAGTTCTACACCCTCCCTTTCAACCTCAACCGTTTCTTCCCTCCTTCCTAAGACTAAAGAGGAAAAAGCATCATTTCCCAAATAAGGGTTTGGGGGTGAAAAGCTACTAAAGAAACCTTCAAGTATGTATCTATAATCTATGTATTTTCTGAGAGCACAAGTTGTTCTTGCGCTTTCGGTTTATTTCTTTTTAGTATAGTTGAGTTGGGTTAATTAAGTTCAATTTTTTTCATATTAATACAAGAAAAACTTTATTTGTTCATTATTTTTCACATATTTCTCATTATTCTTTTAGAATTCAGTCATTATCTGTAATTATTATTTATGGAAAAATATATAGTTTTTTCTTTAAGTAAAAGAAAAAATGAATGTAAAAGTTATAGAAAAATTGAGGGAGGAAGTATGAATCTGGTTTGGGAGATTTGGCACGTTTAGTTGCTACATTTTGAATTCTCCTTTTTGTTGCTATCTAGTCCTACAAAAATTTGTATATGTAATGTGTTTTTAATTAATTTATATTTCTTTGGTACTCTTGTGGTATTGCCTTTCTTTCAAGGCGATATACGATACTTTTAAATGCTTTAATTTATTAACCAAAACAAAATAGAGTTTCTTTTAAAATTTCAAACAATTCTTTCACACTCAAAATTATATTTAATTTTTGAAACTTTTATTGATTACAAGATAAATGCGGTATTAAAAAGTGTTTAATTAAAACTCTTATCCAAATTGCTATATGATACCAATTATGCTTCGAGTATATCCGTGACTTTGGAAAGAAATATATTCTAACGAAAAAAGTTATATTCCAAGTCTTGGTTTAATAGCTTTATTAATTAAAAATATTTAAAAAAATTATATATTGACTAGATGGTACTAATTATTATTAACAACTTATTGTTTGCACGAAACTTGCTTTAATAATTTTATTAATTAAAAATATTAAAAAAATTAGATATCTACTAGATGATACTAATTATTATTAACAACTTATTGTTTGCACGAAACTAGCGAAAAAAATAACTTTTTATGAGATAATTGTAAAACAAATTAAAATCAAAGTGATTTTGCTTTGCTAGTGCCACCGATTTGTAACTCTTGTTAGAAAAGAAGTTTACAATTCATTCGTAGTCTTTCCTAAAAGAACTTAATGAAAAAGCAAAAAAAAGAAAAAGTAATTATTGTGCCTCTATTTCTTTCACATGGCATATATAATAAAAATATATATAACTTATCCTATATAATAGTTGTCCATTGAATTTGCAATGATTTAAAGTAAATAAAAATAATGCTATTTTCTCAATTTAAACAAAACACTTCTAATATGAAATTTAAAATTGTGATACAAAGTAATTATTAAAAGAATTTGCTTTCAGAATTTAAAATTAACATCAACGGATCTCTAAAAATATAGAATAACAATTGCAGACACTTTCTTTACTATCTTTAATTAAACAAAATACATTCAAAAATACCAATTTAGAAAACATATGTAAAATATATAACTATACAGTGTTTATATATATATATATATATATATATATATATGTGTGTGTGTGTGTGTGTAATCTTTCTTGTTTTCTGTTTTATTGGGATGAGACGATGAAAAAAAGTAAGAAAGTGAAAAAAAAAGGAAAAGAAAAGGACCGAGTCAAATTATGTCTATTTTATATTTTACTTTATTTCTTTTATGCATGTTTGTGAGAGAAGCCTTTATCGTTGACATGAACTTTCTTAGAATTCAACATTTTCAGAAAAAGTCATAAAAGGAATTAAATTAAAAAATTAACTTGAAAAGGTAAGAAACAGAATTAAAAATTTAATTTTTGATACAAGAAAAATAGACTAAAAAAATAAATAAATATATTATGTTATAAAAAATAGAAAAATAAAATCTCATAATTTTTTTCCTTTTTTATTAAAAAAAAACATTTCTTACCAAAGATAACTATCAAAGCAGAAGAAAGAGCTTAGACGGTGTTATACGAAAGTATGTGGGCAGATATTTTTTGAAAATGTGAAAAGCCCGTTAAATATCTTGTTCTGGGCAGGTGCACAACACCAGTAGCTATAAAGGCCAACTCTGAAGACTCTCCTCTCGAGCATCTTCACTTTTTCACCATCTCTAACATTCTCTTACTTCATCTCAGACCATAGCCACAACAAGGTGCTTGCCTTTTCCCTTTCTTTTTCGTTTCTAATTGGATTATCGTCTTCTACTTAGAAAGTTTATTCACACCTGAAGAAAAAACCTTCTAATTTTGATAATTTGGGATGACAAAAGCAGCTAAGGAGCTATCTGGGTTTTCAAATTTTTCTTACCCAATTTTTCTTCTTTGATCCTTTTTCCTTCCTCACGTGGCTGACTCAGACACTGTTTAGGTTTTCTTTTCTGTAGAAAAGTGGATTCCCTTATTGAAGATTTTGTCCCTTGGGCTTAAAAGAGAAGACCCATTTGGCTCTGTTTCATCTTCATCTCTTTTTTTTATATAATGTTTGGTTTATTTATTTGGGTCCCGGAGAGTTCTGCACTGGGTGTGTAATGATAAATATTTCCTGTGATGTGATCTTGACTTTATTTTTATGATCTTTGGTTATTTAATGGATCTTCTTGATTCCTTTGCAGCTCATTACTCTATTTTCTGGTTAATTTATTAAGATTCAATGATGTTCTACTTTTGCCGCTGGCTGTTAATGTTGTATTAAGTTGTTTAAGTGGCAAACTTTTGCATTCGCTTTCACTTTCAATTTCATCAATTATTGCAAGTTTCTTGTCCTACGAGTTTCGTGCTGTTATGTTTCTTGTCTTCAACCTTTTTATCAGCTTGTTTCTTTAATTTCTCAAATCTAATATCAATCTTGCTCTGTCTACCTACCCTTTTTACTTTCTTTATGAAAACATCTATGGGGCTTAGATTTTGAATAACCGTTTTTTTTTCTCGACGAGATTTTGAATAACTGAATTGTAGTACGATTAATCTTCCTTTAAACTGCATCATTTTCAAAATACATGCAAAACATTTGAAATAGCAGAATTTCTTATATCTTGTTAATGGATGTAGCAATTTGACAGATGTCCACTTCTGATGCCAATGTGAATGACTCCGTGACTGGTCACATTATATCCACTACAATCGGAAGAAAAATTGGGAAGCCCAAACAGGTATTTTTGAAATGAACCCCCATCTTTCCTGTAACTTATGGTATTAAGATTTTCTTGCCAGATTATGAGTTTTTTAGGTAACTTGAATTTGTAAATGTTGTGAGATTTAGAAGATTTCATTTTTGATCCATGCTAAAACTTTGAAAATTTAATGTCTCTGTTGATTATTCTTGTAGACTAGAACTTATCTGGCAGAACGCATTGTGGGGACTGGGTCATTTGGAATTGTCTTCCTGGTATGCCAATACTATATTCATATCTGTTACTATCTGTCATATATCAGGCACACGGTGATAAATATTCCTCTTAGGCTAAATGCGTGGAAACTGGGGAGCTAGTGGCCATTAAGAAGGTTTTACAGGAGAGAAAAGGCAAGAGTCGTGAGCTACGGTTAATGCGCATGATGGACCATCCAAATGTGATCTCTCTGAAGGACCGGTTCTTTTCCACTACAAGTGAAGATGAACTTTTTCTTAATTTGGTGATGGAATATGTTCCTGAGTCTATGCATCGAGTCTCAAAGTTCTATAGTAACACTAATCAGAGCATGCCACTTATCTTTGTAAAACTTTACATGCACCAGGTACGCCTCAGATTTTCTAGTGATTGAGAAGGTTCTGTTTTTATGTTTTCACATCCTGATACAAGTCTGTGGTTCACATATAGATTTTCCGGGGACTGGCTTATATCCACACAGTCCCTGGAGTTTGCCACAGAGATTTGAAGCCTCAAAATATACTGGTTTGTTTACATGTTTTAGCAGAATGCAATATTGACTTTCTTTCTAAAAAGAAGGAATTATTTCCTGATCTGATGTCATTTTGTGTACTCTTTAGGTTGATCCTCTTACACACCAGGTTAAGATATGTGATTTTGGAAGTGCAAAAGTGCTGGTATGTTGATTTCGTTCTCAGTCCATCCACATCTAGGAGGCGGTAAAAAGAAAACAGAGATTTTTTTTATAAATTGATGTTTTGTTTACCAAGATGTGAAAATTCCTTTTTATTAACTTTTTTTTTTTTTTTGTGAAAACCAACCTAGGTTAATGAGTTTGTTGTGCATAGTTAATGGTGGAAATTAAATATCACTGTACCCACCATACATTAAAAAATGGTTACTTCGTAATTAATTGTGAAATTGTAAATATTTTTTTGGCTTAATTAAGTTTCAAGCTTGTGTATTTTCAATTAATTTTTTATTAAATTTTTTATGTTTATGTTTATTGGGTACTTTAATCTTTTTATATTTTTTAATTGAATTCCTACCATTTAATTTTTGTTGTTAATTGGACGATGGGACTCTTATCTTTTTCCTGTCATCTTCATTCTTGTTACATTTCTTATTACTTGAAGACAATAAACCAAGAGTCACAGCATTCAATTAGCCAAGAAATTAAACGGTAAGGATTCAATTGAAAACTATAAAAATTTTGACTATCACACTAAAATTTTTAATAGGAATTCAATTAGAAATACACAAATTTATGATGACTTAAAATTTAATTAATCTTAATTTTTATAATATTTGTTTTAACCCCAAGATAAAATAAGAAGTTGAATAGAAAACAGAAATTATTTTTAGATCTATTTTAAATAGATAGAGATTCATTACTCTGATGTATCCCTCCATGTAAACAAGGAGCTCAAAGCTATGCCATTTGTACTTGCTCCGCGATGTCATAGTCATGTTGTTCAATTATTTTCGGGAGCTTCTTCTGATTCATTTCCCTCTCTTTCTCATCTTCCATGCTGTAATACTTGCCACATTTGAGCGATCCTCCCGGAAAAACTGTTTGTAACTGGTTCACCCTTTATACATTGATCACTGGTTTCACACCTTGTAGGACTTCCAACTATTTCTACTATTATTTCTTAATTCCATGAGATCGCACTAGTGTTCGACAGAAAAAGGCACTGCCATCACCACCTTGTAGGTGGCTAATTGATTGGAGGTACAAGCAGTACAAAGTGATCATCCACATGAACCTCTTAAATGCAGGTGGCTTATCTATTGACCTGCTCGACCCCCAGTTTCACCAATCTCTCAACTAGAGCTTTCTAGTACTAAAAATCTTCGATGACATTTTTCTCTCATTTCTCTTACACATCCACAGTTTTTGCCCGTGCATAAACATCATAGCCAACCTTTTTCCAAACCTTCGTATATTTGCACGATGACTCAGTACCTTCCTAACTGACATCCCCATCCCCTTGTCTCTGGGATATGTATTGTAACCTTTTTATGCCCTTTTTTTTTTTGGCCTTTTGGATAGAGCAGGCAGTTTTTGGTTTTTGATATTGCTTTGTTTAGGGCTTTTTTGGTAACCATCCAATGTTGTGTTTTTCGAGATTTCTGTATGATTGTTATGCATAAAACTTATGTATTCATCAGCTTTTAAATTGTGACTCTTATTACGATATGCTGGATAATATTTTTCAATGTTATTCCAACAGATGTTTCTTGCATGTTTCTTGCTTACATGAGATTTTATGTCAGGTTAAAGGTGAAGCTAATTTATCACACATATGTTCACTTTTCTATCGGGCACCCGAACTAATCTTTGGTGCCACTGAGTACACAACTTCAATTGATATTTGGTCAGCTGGCTGTGTCCTTGCTGAACTGCTTTTGGGCAAGGTTTATGTCATTGATTTTCTTTTATTGTTTTTATTATGCAAATAGTCTCATTCCATAATATTCACTATCTACATGCCATCTGACACAAAAAATGGAACTTTTTGAAGCCATTATTTCCTGGCGACAATGCAGTGGACCAACTTGTAGAGATTATCAAGGTGCGACTGATGTTACATGTTAAGTTTTTAAGATCGTATTACTCGTCATAAGAAGTCAGGTCAATAAATTCCGTATTTCAGGTTCTTGGCACACCCTCCCAAGAGGAAGTTTGCAGTTCAAATTCAAGCAACAATGATTTCAAGTTTCCACAGGTTTGGGCACATCCATGGTACAACTCTGCATTTTTTTATCTTCTGCCACTTGGTTTTTTCAGATTATCAATTTTGAGTGTAGATATTCCACCAAAATATGCCTCCAGAAGCAATTGATCTTACTTCCCGGCTCCTGCAGTATTCCCCAACCCATCGTTGTACTGCGGTGAGTGTGATTACTTCAATTATGATTTATTTCTGAGTGTGCAAATCATTCTTCTTATAAATCTTTATCATTTAGTGACTTTTACATCTAGCAGTTTGAGGAGGACTTTTTTTTTGGATGCAGCTAGAAGCATGTGCACACCCATTCTTTGATGAACTCCGTGAACCCAATGCTCAATTGCCAGATGGTCGGCCATTTCCCCCTCTATTCAACTTTAAACAAGAGGTGAGTGTGGCTGCATCATCTTCATAGCTATGAATGAAGGTTACAAAAATCTAAATGACCTACCCAACAAAATTGATAGACAGCTTCATTATGAGTATATATCCATGATCTGATATTCAGTAAGTTCTTTGTTTAGGGTGTATTGAATGTTCTTGTTGTCTGTTTACAGTTATCCGGAGCTTCCCCAGAGCTTATTGATAAGTTAATACCTGATCATGCGAAGCTACAAAATACCCATTTTGGTGGAACATGAGTTAACATGATTGCAGCCACCATCTGTATAGGATGAGTACCTTCTAATTAAAGCTGTATACCCAAACATGGGCAGGACAGTGTGTATGCAATTGTAACTGTAGATATCAAATATGTGATGTGAGGTTTTTTAGAATAATAAGAGAGATTCAACACTAATAAGTTCTGAACAAGTTCATAATTCAGAATCTTAAGCCGGTATGTTTATAGATTACTTTATTTATATATTGTTTATTTTTTTGAAACTTCTAATGAATCTCTTGTAATCTTATTTGCATTGCACTATTTCTTTTCAAGTACGGATATCTTAATAACGATCTTTTATGATATCAACAATTGTACTAAAAGAAATCATATTTCTTCTTCAAGCTATCTTTCTCCACTAAAAATATGCTCAGCACTCTTTAATTCCATGTGCATTCCATGAAATTGGTTAAAAGACCAAACTGCTTTTTTTCTATTGCCACCTTGTACTTGCCATCACTTTACCATTTTCGTCCTCTTGCCTTGTCAATACTTTTGTTTATGTATTTTGTCTGTTTATGTATTTTGTCATAAAAGTGTTTTAGATTACATAATTTAAAAGTTATTTTCATTTTAAATTACAGAATTTGAAAGTTAATTTTTTTTTAAATAACTTAATGCAAAAGTAAGAGAATTTTAAGTTACACAATCTATAAGTTAAAAATATTTTTTGAATTATACAAAAAAAAAATAAATTATATAAAAATACTTATAAATTGTATAATTTAAAATTTATTTTTTAAAGACAGAGTAGAATTTTTTTGTATAGAAAAAAATAAGATATGAAAAAAAATTGTAAAAGAAAAGGTAAAATAATAAAAAAAAGTATAGCCCAAGTTGAGCTATGCGAGTATTTGTAATACCTATTTAGTTCTACGCGGTTCAAATGTTCTATAACAGCTTATTTTTCTTTTACCCATTTAAAAACATATCTTTTATTTATTTATAATATTTGGACTTAATAATATTTTGTTTTGAATTTATTTAGAAGCGTGTAAAACGGTTCCCTTTAGGATATCTTGAGCCTAAAAGTTACAGTTAACGTGGCATATGCTTTAGGCCGGTCTGATATTTTTTTGGCATGGGTCAAATCTTGTTTTGACCGGCAGATGCTTTTTCTACATCTCTTTGAATTTTGTTATAGAAAATTTGTTAGATATTTTTTCTAAGTTTTGTATTTTTTTATCTTACTTTTCTAGACATGTTTTCAATTCTTCCACTACGATATTTTATTTTTAGTTTTAGTAAGTAAAATTGTATTAATTTTTTTAGATTTTAATTTAAGTCTAACATATATATTTTTTTAGTCTTTAAATTGATTATTTTATAATTTTTGTTCACATGTTTTATTTTTGGAAAACTCAATTTATTGTGATATATAGAATAAATATATAAGTTATACGTTAGAATTAAGAGTTTGTGACAAGAGACTTCTTATATTATGATACATGACAAATAATACTCAATATTAGTAGAATATCATCATGATTCATATATTTTATTTATTATTTTCATTGATAATTGAATAAATGGATTAAGTGGGATAATCTTTACATATTGTGGTATTACACTAAGAATCGTTGCATTGAACGAGTGTGCATGGGCTTGCTAAATAATGGGTCTATTTCACTTTTATCTACTGTGGATGACTTTGTTCCATACGATATATTGGAATATGCAAATATGGTATCATGGTTTTCATTGATTTTTTATTTTCAACATTTGTAACTCTGAAAGATTAGTGCTGTAAATTGGACGCATACTTTTAGTTTATAGTCATTAGGCCTACATTATTTTTCATTATACAACACCATCATGTATAGAAAGCTAGGGTTTAGACTCTAGAAGGGCACAGTGAGAGCAGTAATAACAGGAGGTTGATTTTCTTTAGCTTCTACATTTACACTATTTGGTTTTTTTTTCTTTTGTAATCTTTTATCGCACTTACATAATTAAAACATTTTTCTATCCTATAGTCATATATCTAAATAATATATATATATATATATATATATATATATATATATATATATATATATATATTATTTTTTTTTGTGATATTTGTTGGGCCAGATGTTTGAACAATTGTATCATACTCTCTGCCTATAGATCTTGTTTGACAATTATTGATTCTTACTATATTAGAAAATAGATTTTAAGCCTAACTCAACCCTACGAAACCGGCTTGTAAGGTGAGGTTTGCACCTCACTTATATATTATAATTTGGCTTTATCTCTAGTTGATGTGAGACTTCTAACACACCCCCTTCACGCCGAGGTATAGACATCTTGTGCGTGATAGTAGAAATTGGGTGGTCCGATACCTGCCCGATAGCGGGTGGAATAGAAGAATAAAATGTCCACTTAGAACTCGCTAAGATAGGCTCTAACCATGGCTCTGATACCATATTAGAAAGTGAGTTTTTAAGCCTAACTCATCCCCACAAAACCGGCTTGTAAGGTGAGGTTTGCACCTCACTTTCTAATATATTAGACGATACCTGATGTTCTTTGCTCTTTGGCTTATGGTTTGGTTGAACAAGAAGAAGGTTAATTGAGCATGAAGTTAATTCTAAGTAAGGAATCACTTTGGTTCTTCCTTGTTTCTTTGTTCTTTTAACTTTTCCTTTAACTATATCTTAGTAAAAGAGATTTAAAATGTTATATGTATTAATCAAAACATAAAGTTAATATTTCTTTTTAATTGTAAAAGCTAAAGAGAAAAATATGAAAATTATCTTAAAATATTTAAAAGAAATGAAATAATGAAAAATACCTTTCTATGATGACCTATATTATGACGTATTAAACTTATGCATCATAATAGGTTGGCCGGTGACAAAGTTATAATAAAAGTAAGACATATTATAACGTAGTTTTGTAAATCAGTTATAATATGAAACGCAGTGACAAACATGTAAATAAGTTTAAGACATATTATGACATAATTTTATATATTAGTTATAATATAAAATGCTGTATAATATTATGACATATTATAAGTGAGTTTTAGAGATGAGTTATAATATCTCTTCCTCTCTAATTTTTCACATTTCTCTCTCGCATCTCTAATTTCATCACGTTACCTCTCACTCTCGTTCTTCTCTTCCGCTTCTCTAAACCCTTGCATTTTTCGGCACTCCTCCAAGAACTGAGAACACTCCTCCGTGCTTGTGGTTTTCTCAGCTCCGAGGACACTCCTCCCTCCGTTGCTTCTGAGACTGCCTCCACTGCCTCTTCGTCGAAATCTCCAAAGTGTGACCAAGTAGGTTTTATGATTCATAGTTCACATTCTACTCTTTGTTTTTTCCCAATTTGTTAGGTTTTTCTTCTATTAATTTCACTAATTTCTCCTAGATTGATGGGAAATTGTTGTTCGTCGGAACGATAACTCTTCCCTCTAATTGTGTTAATTTGATTGGTACTATTTGATGTTTTGGATGGCTCTGCTGGTGTTGTTTCTAGCTCTGGATTTGCTCTTGTATGTGCTTTTATTGTTTCGTCCTATTTTCTTGTAAGAACTAGGGTTTTGAAGTCTTATTTATGTGAAGTTGAATTATTTATGAAGTGAGAAAATGCTGCTTGCGTGGTGTTGTCTTTTTCTGTCCCATGACTCTTGCTGATCAGATGGCTTGCTTTTCTGGCATTCTATTATATTTAGCATTCTACTATAATATCATGTTACTTGGTTAGTTGTTTCATTCTAACCTAAAATGTAAAATGGTCTGGATATAATTTCGAAGTTCAAATGTAATATTGATTATAAATTGATTGTTAGTTTCAAATGTAATATTTAGCATTCTACTATAATTTTTGTTAGTTTCATTAAATTTGTTTATTTGAAGTTATATTGATTATAAATTGATTGGATGAGATGATAATACAAAAATATTATTATAATTTCATTGGATGTCAAATGTAATGATCATTTTTAAAAAAAAACATATATTATGATGTACTAAATAATTTACGATATGTTGATCACATATTATAACATATAAAAATATATACGTAATAATAGATCACATATTGTAACGTACAAAAAATTTTACGTAATAATATCCTCCGCCCTATTATAACGGGACAAATTTGAACTATGTCCCAGAAATTAGGTTATAAAAAGTTATTTTTGTACGTTATAAAATATCATTTTTTTCACTAGTATAAATGAATATTATGCTTAATAAATTGAATATAAAAAACACTTATCACGTACCAAAGATGATACAATTTGAAAAACATATTACTCATGATAGGAAGGATATACTTTCTCAGACAACACTCTTGCAACAAACGAATTAGGAACGGTTCTAGATAGCTGAAGGAGGTATGATATTGGTGCGCAACAACTTGAAATATTTGGATAAGAAGAAACAATGTTGTTTAACAAATTAGGTGTAGTGAAGTATTTCGGGTCATAGTTAAAATTGAAGGATAAATTATTTATTATCTCTTCAACATAATGTATTATGTTGTTCATTTTTTCCTTGATATATGTAAATATTATTTTCGTTTTTTATATATATTTTTATCTTTCTCTATATGGTTTCCATCCGCTGAACTAAGCATGCTCTCAGTGTGTTATAGCTACTATAATATTATAATATGTGAATTAAAATGTTGGTGGTTGTATTTGGGAAAATAAGGTAACGCAACTAGCTAGCTGATTTAGATGCCTTGCACATGGCATGAACTCAAGGTGGGTACGACGTAAACGCGGAAATGTAGGTTAGTTATATAGCTAACCCAAATTTGGGTTAGATGTAATTAATGTACATCCGTTCACAATTAATTATTAACATTCAAATGAATGCAAGATAACATTGACTTAATGGTCAAAATTAAAAGAAATAGAGGGATAACTAATTTTTAATATTTGATAAAAACATATCAATTAATTTTTGTTGATAAAGAAAAAAAAAAGTTGACATTCGAATGCATATTTACCAGCGTCAACATATGTATATAGTTACGTAACCAACCCCATTTGTTTAGTTTAGGACACATTTAACGATATCTGTGTACTTAGATAAGGAGCTGTTTCGTGGGTCAGAAAAACCTATTTTCTACATCACAACACAACAAATTATGTGCGTTCACGGATTTAATTCAGCTCCTGACTTCTTGTCAGTGTTTCA